TCTCTTCAGTTACAGCTTCTTAAATTTAATACTGAGAATAAAGACCATTAATTCTTTTGAACACTAAATCTGCTGACAACTACCAAAGTGACTTCATAATTTTGCCAGTTTCAAAGGTAACCAAGATTTCATCTTGCATGAAAATGAGTTTCTCATGAATAGGAAAACAATGAGAAGATAAACAAGGTAGGAAACTGTTTCCTTACAGGTATTTACAGCAAACTGCATACAACTGTTAGTTTTCCAAATCTATAAATGCAAAGAAATAGTTAACATGACTGTAAGAAGAGAGACCAAAAAATTTCCAGAGGAAGAATATGGATGTATTTTCAAACCTGCTACAGAAATACCTGCTGTAAGATTCCTAGTATCATAAAGCAAAGATATTATCCCAAATCACTTATAATCTGCTTTACCTAGTCCAAAACACGGTGACCTTCAATATTTGAAAGAAAGCATTCTATAGGCAACAGGATCATGCAGCACTTTGGAGATGGCATTTTTTCAGTTCAAGATTTCATTAGCCTTGGAACAAAGAATGTCCAACTGCAAGAAGGCCAGTTAGCACCCTTACTACGGTTTAATAAGCAGTTTAAGAGAGAAAGACAGACTACTTGGCAGGTAGGTCCATCTACTAGGGTATCTACTTTGAAAATCAAAATAAAGAGAAGAATTAAGCCATTCTGCATCTGAAGCAGCCCAATTCACCTGATCAGCTATTCACATTCTCAGAACCAAGAAGCCCTCCAGGGTGGCCAGAGCAAGAGGAACACCTTTTTGCCTTCAAGAAAAGCAGATTCTAGCACTTTGGAAACCAGCTGGATTGCTGCTTAGAAGTTAATACATTCACACTATTTTCAGTCTAGGGCAAAATCAGACTTTAAGGAAAACTCAAAGCTCAGGAGAGTCACTTCACAGGTTGATAAACCTTTTTAAGACAATACCTTCTCATCTCAAATTCTTCTAAAGCATCTGGTACAAGACTATCTTTAAGCAACCTCACATACACTCTAAGCCTTCCTTGAAACCAACTATGGGGCTGTTCTCAAAAAACTGCAATAAGACATTTATTTATGTACGGAACAGAAAACTTAACATAGCAAGAAAAATGCTTCAAATTCCTTCCTAATTCTGGAAGGCAAACAAGAAACAGGTGTTGGGGGGGGAATCTATAATAAAGATTCCACCTGAGAAAAAAACTGGTGAGTTTGTGTGAGAAGAAGAAATGTCTGGTGGGTTAATTATGCCATCTCTACATTATGGTTTGATGGGTTACAGCCTTGGACTAGAAGTTTAAGTTCCTTATTTCTACACTAGGATGCTGCGTAAGCAGCAACAATAGAGCCAGATCTCTAAAGAAAATGCTTCAAGTCATTTAATGGTACGGATTCAGTTTAAATTTGGTGCACATTTGCCCTTTGTGGGTACTACAAACAGTTTACACAGATTTTGAATTATGGCAGTATTTCATTTGCACAGAGTGTGTTACATACATGAATTATTCGCTTCCAAACTCGCAACCCTTCATATGCCATAAACTAATGTCTTTCCTTACCGTAGACCAAATTTAAGACCTAGACTCCTGCATGCTTTTGCACACACTCTGTCTACTCTCCCCTGCTAGCAAGCAGCTCCATAGTGCACATCTGCTTTTTCAGGACACTAACACTGATGAACTGCATGTCAGCAGGAACAAAACCAAAACGCACTTGCAAAGCAAGGAAGAGGGAAAGAAAGAGCATATGCAACAAGCATAGGAAATCATCTGTCTGAGCCAGAAGGCTATCCTCAGGCAGCAGGGCAAAAGAGTCTAGTTCAACAGAGCCTTTCCACTGCCTGGGGATGGCTCCTGGCAGGTACACCTCTGAATACCCTGACTGCCATCTCCGTGTTACACGCAACCCTCTCCTAACTGAAGAGGGGGAGGACATACTGCTTCTAGAGAAGAATATAGCATTGCAATTTGCTACAATAGGATAAAAAGGTTGAGGAAAAAACAATGCTACGAGAAAATGTATTCCATTATTTGTGACAGAGGTGAAAGAGGAAGATGCATTACTCTTATGGATGTAATGCAGAAGAGCCCAGTATGCAACTAGGACGCCTGTTACTGTGTTTCTATAAGACATGACATAACAAAACAAAGCACACACAAGAAAATGGTGCCTGCCTCTGGAAGTTCAGGACCTTATAACTAGATTAAAAATGGACCCAGACAGAACAGTGGAGAGCACTGAAAAGCTACGTATTACTTCTCATACACAGAAAAGTAAGCGGTATTTCTTACAGCCTTAAATAGGAAGGATTAGGAAGAAATAATTTTAAAATCAAGTTAGGAGATCGTGAATCTGAGTGACAAGAAAACCAGAACAAGATGGCAGATGATGGATTAAGGATGATGTAGATTAAAAGCCACATTTTGAAGTGAGAGTCTGAGAACTCACCATGAATTCAAGAATAGTTTTTAAGTTTCTGGCAGAAGAACATGAACCTGGAGTAAAAAGAAAGCTCTACAAGACTCTGAAAACAAGTGACCAGGTTACCAAAAGCTACCCAAAGGAATGGTATTCCAGGATAAAGTGAAGGAAAGCACAAGCGGAACTTCAGTGAATCCCCCACAAAAAAAAGCCTGGGAGTAATGAACAACGGCCTCTGCAAAAATAGTGGAAAGGCAGGCAGTAATCAAAAGAGGACACAGACGGGAGACAACAGTGGAACAACACTTCAACAGCAGCACAGCTGATAGTGACAAATGTAGCTGACAGAGAAAAGGAAAATGAAGTACTGGATCTGAACCTTAGCTAGGAAAAGATCACTGTAAACACTCATTACAATTGCAGTAGAGCGCAATTGAAGCCTCATTGGAGGACAAGAGCCCCGGACAATGCACTCAAAGAATTTTGAGATGAAAAAAGTGAAAGGAAATTAAGAGGTAGTTGCAAAGGCAAGAGAGGCCACAGGCGTTTTGAACACTTGGGGTTTTTTTTTTTGTTTTTTTTTTTTTTTTTTAAATAGGGAAACACATCTACAGGTACTATGAGGGAAAAGAAAAGCTAGGAGTTGAACAAGTGATTAAAGGAAAGAGGTAGAGAGAAAGGACAAGAGGTTCAAGGGAGAGAAGGAGATGTTCTTGTATGGTGCCATAAGGGCAGATGAAAGGGTTAAGAAGAGGAGAAAAAAATTTCTATTTGTGACAAGGAGATGATCATAACTGTTGGAGGAAAGTGATAAATGGTAAGCCAAAGTGTATTCTGTCAGAAAGTCATCAAGATGCCACGCAGAGGAAAAACTAGATGTCAAACATGCAAAACACATAAAAATGTTGTGGATAATGGGCTACTATTTGTCAAGTTTGATTAGAGCCTATTAGCATAGCACATTTCTGCCGTGCATACCCCCTTTGCAGGCACAGGAACACAAAAAGTATTGCTGGAGGACAACTCAAGTGGTTCAAGAACATGCAGAGAAGGCATTTGCTATTGGGAGAACAAGCATCATACACGAAAGACAGGCCCTGAAAACAGGAAAAAGCAAAAATCAGGCTGGAGCGATCCAAATTCAAAATATTGGTGAACTACAAGACATATGAAAGCACGGTCACATTGCAAGTAGAATCCAAACGGTCGTGGAGATCCCAAAAGAAACCTTGCAATTATTAGAGATAAGAAATTCAGCAGTTGCATCAGAACAAGCACGCAGGCATGGCTCGATGAAAACCAAATGAAATTAACTGACTTTGTTTAATGAGAGGCTAGAAAAAAGAATGCAGGCCAAATCAAGTTAGGGCAAAGAAGCATGTAATTACTGTCAAAGAACAGTGAGTGAAAATGGAGAACAAGACAGGAATCAAACCTGAAGGCCCACGGGGAGGAAACGAGCACACTGTATGTAACAATACAGAATGAAGAGAAGATAAAAACTGGATCCCAACACTGTTTACAAAAGGAAGAAAATGTAGGCAACAGGAAAAAGTAGTCTAGTGCCTCTTCCACAGTCTGGCCGAGGACAGAAAGCAGAATGCAAAAGGTAACCATAAATAAAGGGATGCAGCATACTGATGATGGCAAAGAAAGCCACATTAACTGTAGGTTTTAAGTGTCAGCTTATGTCTCAAAATCAAGAATAGCGAGTGTCTCCATCCACAACCAGGTGGTTGTGAATAAAGTTCTCCCTTTGTCCCTGCTTTAATTTTACATATGTCTTCTCACTCATTATATACCCCCACTTTGGAGAATGTCAGTTATCAGTATGCCTTATGGTATAATTCATACTGAATTCATCAATATTAAACCCATCCACGTTTCACTTAAAGCTTACAGACCCCTGTGCGCTTCTACTCTATCCACCTTATTTTGTAAGGACTGCAAATTCTCCCACAGTTGTGTAATATGTATTGCAGCCACAGAATAACTTAAGTTGGAAGGGACCCCTGCCGAGGGGGGTCAAAGCAGAGCCAACTTTGAAGCTAGATCCAACTTCAGAGGTTAAGTGGATTGCATAGGGCCTTGCTCAGTCACATTTGTGCACCTCCAAGAACTGATATTCCACAGCTTCTCTGTCATTCCCCCCTCCCTCAATCCAATGTTTGACCACCCTCACTGTGAATTTTTTTGCCTAATATTGAATAGGAATTTGTTGCAATTTGTGTCTGCTGCCACTTGTCCTTGCACTGTATGACTCCAAGAGGAGCCCAAGAGAATATTAAATATCTAAAAGGACAGAATAAAGATAAGAAGAGATCACTGTAGTCACGACAAAACTTTTGGACATCCAAAACTTCTAGTAGGTAACAAGCATCCAGCTTTTTGATGCCTGAAAAATCTGTCTGATCAGGTGAGGCAGAGATCTAAATGAGGTCATCAAAAGGACATCATTACAGATTTAAGATGAAAGATGACTGCTTAAGACATGAAAGAAGAACAAAGAAAAATGGTATTCCAAATGGTATACATACTGCAAATGAAAACAAATAATTTTGTATAGCAAGGTTAGGTACTCACCATCTCTCTTGCGATCTCCACAGCTTCCTGCAGCCCATAGAGCCTGCCACAGACCAGGTAGATCCCATTGGCCCAGAGAATACAACCCTCATGGACCCAAAATTCATTGCTGTCAAGAGGTAGTTCAGGAATTTGTAACTCCAGCTCAGTGCCACCTTCTGAAGTGGGCATAGAGGGTTTTGAGTCCAAAGGAGTCTTTTCACCACCACTGCCACCGTCAGTGGTTGCTTTTTTACACGAAGCTCCCCTTGAAAGTGACCGAGAGGCTCCACTACAGTCCTCAGAGCGGTGCCGCCTCTTAAAGCGGGGATGAGCAGCTAGGCTTCTTTGTTCCTTCTGTTGTTGCTGTTCCTCCTCCTCTTCTGTATCTGTCTTGGAACCATTAGAAGCACTTTTGTGCCGTACCTTGACCTTGCTCTGCATTTCTGTGGCCCTCTTTGGAGGCGGGTTCTTGGGCAAGGTGGCTGCGTAATCCTGGGGGTAGAAAGGACCAAAGAGGTCACCCATATTACGATAGCTGGCCCATTTGCCACACAGGCAGCAAACCAGATGCCCCAAGACAGAAGACTCTGTTACTACAGGGCCCTGCAGCATGAAAGTTGAGGTCGGCAGCACTTTGCTCTCCGCATTGCTAGGAGGGGGTGTTGAAGACCGCTGTCCTTTCCGGCCCCTCACCAATTTGTTCTGCTCCTCTTCCTCCGCATTAATGATTGTGCACACAGCGCCTAATTCACACTTGTTTACCACATGAATATAAGGGAAAAAGGACTTATTCTTGGAGTCAGTTTTATCTACAGACTGGGTAGCATATTTAAGCTTGATCTCTGGTTCTTGAGGCTCCACAATTGGAGCAGCCCGTCTAGGCTTCCGCTTCCGTGGCTGTGCTGCAGGTTTTCGCCTCTCTCTCCTTTGCCTCTTCGGCTTTGGCTCACCACCACCTACCCCTTCTGAACACTGTGAAGGTACTGGCTGGGGTGGGGGGGGTGGTGGCAGTGGCTGCTGCTGCTGCTGCTGCTTTTTCTGCTTGTTCACACTCCCAATTGGCCTCCCCTTTTTCTTTCCAGAGGGAAAATATCCCTTTGGAGGGAAACCATCTGGCTTGGGTGAAATGTTTGTCACATCTCCATCTTTTTCCTCAGACTTTGGATTTGGTTCAGAAGTAAACACACTGGAAGGAGAAATTGTTTTTGAGTCAGAAAAGGTCAGAGTACCAGCTCCACTTACAGATCCATCAGACCTTCCCTGACCACCTGACTTCTGAGAAGGTGGTGCTGCTGCACTGGATCCTGCTCCTTCTTTACCAACACTGGCAGTTTCAGGGACCTCTTTCTTGGTTTTATCATCCTCACTGCTTTGCCACTCTTCTGAAGCTCTTGGAAGAGTTATTTCACCAGTTGCATCCTGGCTTGCAGGCCCAACTTGATCTGACATCTCTCCTTTCCTCTTCTCAGCCTCTGGTCCATGTCCAGCCACATTTCCTCCTTCAGGTCCACTCTTAAGGGACAGGATGTCATCGAGAGTGACAGTATCTGCACCAGTTTCAGCACTGTTTGCAGAAACGCTTCTCCTAATATTGGGAGATGTAATTTTTTGAACAATAGCTTCCAGTTTTAATCCTCGCCCCTTTCTTGGGGGCAATATTTTGGTCTTAGCCGGGCTTGTAAGGGAAACAGCAGGGCAATTCCTATTATCAGGACTTGGCAGGTCCTTGAAGGAATCTCCCTTTCCAACTGACTTGCCAACGTCTTGGCTTTGAGATGAATGGGCATAGGAGTTGTATGTTTTATCAGCTCCTTCTTTTGCTGAAGTCATCAGTCGCCCCTTATCTTCACTGCCGCTGTTCTTCATATCCTGTGGCTGTCTTTTGGTAGGGATAGGTGAGATGAAAGAACGGACTCTCCTCCTCATAATTAGTGGATTTTGAGGAGACTGGTCTTCCTGGCCAGGGAGCCTGAGCATGGCATTACTAGGCTTGGGCAAATCTGTAGATTCATCTCTTCGATGCCCATCGCTTTCTTGAGGGCAAAATCTTTTTTGGTTGGCTGCTCCAAGAGGGCCACTGCTTTTGGCAGGAGAAGTTTGCCGAGAGAGGTCCCAACCAGATTCGTGATGCTGCAACTTCTGGTTGCTATGTTTCAGTTCGGTGCATTTGCTCTGAGTACCATCACTCCCCATAACGCAGCGTCCAGCTTCCTGGCTTCCAGTATCATGGTAAGAGCTGCCTTGAAGGTACATCATTCCATCCTTGTCATTTTTTAAGGGACTCCTTACTCTTTCCAGAAACTGCTGTTGTCTTGGGCTCTTCCTTGCTCCTTCCTGCCTGTGCTGAGCTGCAGCAATGACACCCTGAGCAGTGCTACTTGCCCAATCTTTGTATTCTTCTTGCTGTTGCTGGTATATCTGTCTCTTGTAATGATACTGGGAATTTAAGCTCTGGTTAGGGTCACCGAAAGCATGAGGCCTAGCATTTGTGTGATATGCTGAAGCCAAAGATGGGCCTTCTGAATTCTGAGGGTAAGCTGAATGCAAGGAACCCCTGTTAACTCTTTCAGATAGTGTCATGTGTGGGTTCATGTGATGCAGATCTGTCCCTGGGCCTCTGCTTCTGCCTGGTGACATTTTCAGCTTATCAGCAAGATCCTGAAATTGAGAAGGTGATTTACCCCTGCTGCTTCCAGTTCTGCCAGGTCCTCGTCTCATCTGTGTTGATCTGCTGTCCTGCTGGGGAATGTAGTCTGGAGCAGCATCGGAGACTGCAGCTCCAGGGCTAGCATTGCCTCGGAAAGATTCATGCTTGATGCCAGCAGGATGACAATGGTCTCCTGTTTTTTTATTATTGAGACTAGCTGAGCTCTTTGACTGTTCAAAATCTTCTTCTTTTATTTGCCCACTGTGAGCTTTCATCTTTGTTTCCATGGATACTAAACCACCAGGGAGTATTACTGACTGGCTCAAACCAGGGGCAAGACGTTCACTCCTTCCACTTCTGGCCTCAGGACCCATGTGCCCCATTGGGTGAGGGCCAGGATCTCTGACAAGTTGCCTTAATGGAGATATGTCACAGATCACTGATCTCCTCTCTGAGAGCGCTCCCCCTTCATGGGCAGAAGACTGAGACTCCACATCAAACTTTCTAGCAATAGGGTAATCAGCTAGATTTATCTGCTTCATGTCAGGAGCTGCACTGCTGGATTTCCTATCCCAGGGACCCCAGTGAGGGCCCTCCAGGAGAGACCCCATGCTTTTATTTAAGAGGCCTCTGTTGGTCAATTCATTGGTTTGACTAATTAAGATATTGGGCCTCATGGCTCCCTCCAAACTCCCAGCCATCCCAGAATGCTCCTGCGCATTCCTCGAATACCTTCTGTCTGGATGATGGTGGTACCCCTGTAAGACCTCCTGTAGAAGGCTAGGAAACTTCTCATTCCGGCCTTTGCGCTCACTGTGCCCTGGAAAATCCCCTTTTTCTTGACCAGAAGGATACTGTGGAAAGCCACCAATATTTCTCTGTATACCAGCTGCTATGTTATCCTTGTAACTGTATCTTAAACTGCCAGGAGATTTGGAAGGTTCTGTTCTTGCAGGAAAATTTGGCCCAACAACTGCATGACCAGGCTGGCTGTTCCCCTCTCCATTATGGTTAGTGTTATCTCCACTTTTGCTCCCTTTACTTCCTCCTTGAGTTTCTGGCTGTGTCCCTACATGCCCAGTTTCTTTCGCTCCACTAGCACTAGCTGGTGCCTGAGTGGCTGTGGAAGCATCATCTTGTGCAGGTTTATCTTGCCCACCTGACTTTTCTACTCTTCCTGTCATGGCTTCCCGGGAGACAATTACCCCAACTGCCTTTTCATTCACTTTTGGGGCATTTTCCACAGCCACCACAGCTTCCTTTTCATCAGGGGAGGCCACATCCTCCCTAGCTGCAGGGCTGCTGCTGAGTTTTGATGGCTCATTCTGAGAGCCTTGTGCTGGTGAGGAGTTGGACCTCTCTAAGTTACCCCCTTTGTAAGTGGTGTCTGAGCTGGTGCTCTGGCCACTCAGCTGTCTCACCCTTTCCCCATGATCCTCTGAACTACTGGAACAGCCACCATCAAGGGATTCTGCCAGGGGAGACTTGAGTTGCTCCTCTGCCTGGGAGGAGCCTTCTGAGTTGGTGCAGCTGTCGGCCTTCTTTGAAGAGGATGACCTTTTGGAACTTTTTTTCTGAGGTGCCAAGGCATCTGAGAGCAACATGTGCTGGACTGTATTGGGCAGATTGGCTACCTGAGAACTTAGAGCACTCAGGCTACTCAGCCCTGGATCTGTGAGCCTTTTTTCCTGCAGTCCTTCCAGCCCAAATCCCTTGAATCCCCCTGCATGAGCGTTGGGGCTTGGCATCATAGATGGTGTAGGACTAAGCTGAGGCATCATCTGCAGGATTCGGTTTCTAGAACCCATGGACATGTTGCCTTGCCCACACTGGAGATTTTCTCCACCTGGCATGAGTGGAGAAGGGGTAGAGCTGCAGCTTGGAGACTGAACCACAGATGCAGCAGGAGATGGATTAGAAATTGGACTGAAGTTTTGGTGGAACTGCATCGGTGACCTTACAGGAACTTCAGTCTGGCTGTACTGCCCCACTTGACTTTGAAGAGAGAGCTTGGTGGCAGCATTTGAATACTGCATTACGTGCTGAGGTGGGTGCTGTTGCTGCTGCCCCTGCTGCCCGCTTTGGGGCAGCTTAGACTGCTCAAAGCTTTTCATTGGTTGAGACTGAAAACTGTAGTTTGACTGGGTCCCATATGCCTGCGCATTGGAACCCACAGCATGGCCTTCATACTGCGACCCAGAATTCACACTGTAGCTTCCATCATAATTCTGTCCTGACTGGCCAAAACGCTGTGGGGAGGGGAAAGAGGAGGAAGAAGAGGACGAAGGTGGCTGATAGTGTTGGCTGAACTGACCCACTCGTAACTGGTACCCAGAAGCAGAGGAAGGCAGGGTGGATGGACGCTGCATGGGCTGCAAGTGCGAGGTGCTAGAAGCAGACTGGCTGGAAGCCTGGGGTAAAGGCTGATGAGACTGATAAATCTGCTGTCTCAGCTGCTGCACCTGCTGCTGCTGGCTAGAAGCCTGCTGCTGATACTGGGCACTCCCTGGAGAAAAAGGACCAGTATAATCCTGTTGATAGTGGGACACACCCCCAAGGGTCGAGTGCTGTGTTTGAAACTGGCCCACATGTCCCTCACTCCCATACTGACTCCCAAAGCTACTCCCTTGAGGGGGCCCATAGCTCTGTACGGGTCCAGAAGGCCTGCGCTGAGGTGGCTGCTGCCCTCCTGACGCCACGGGATCTTTGTTGGCAGCCATATAGTAAAACTCTCCTGCTTCTTTTCTGAAACCTTGGTAGCTCTGATGGCCAGAGCTCTCACCAGGCATCGCTGTAGAGGCTCCTGTTGCTCCACGACGTCCACTGCCAGCGCCTCCTCCAAAGCTCTGGAACATCTGGGCCTGCTGGCGGGGGCTGAACTCTTCCAGTCGGGATGAACCGTGCACTTCCTGCGGGTAGCTCTGCTGGTTTCCGTGGTAACTACTTTGCTCCCGAAAAGACTGCATGCTGTTCAGCAGCAGAGCGGCAGCTCGAAAGCCCTCCTAAAGGGTGAGAAACAGAAAGAGGGGAAAAAAAAAGGTGTAGCATCCACATCTCCCAGTCATACCAATACCACTGCTCAATTTCACTGTTTTAATAGCAATGAGAATTCAGTATTTATCTCCTACTTTCTGGTACATCAATGTGTACCCCCTCTCCTTGCAACCTTCCAACATTCTAGGTAGCGCAATTAAGAGAAATCATTCACTTCCAAGAAAATAAAAGTCAGTAGCCTACTGCCAGTTGGAGCACATTTGTGGCATTAGTATTTCCCCAGTCACTGGGTCTGCTTACGTGCCTCTAAAGAAACAAACTTCCAACAATGTTTTGCAAAGCAAAGGACAACAGTCCTCACCCTCTAGCTATTCTCTATGGCTAGTACTGGGAGTAATCAAGTATTTTACCACATGTTAAAAGATGCACTGATGAGAAGCCCGTAACACTCTGAAACCACTCTTGGATCTACTGTAGGAATGGTATCTAAGGCCTATGTTTCACTCTGGGAAAGATCTCTTTTAGAAAACACTCAAGATACAATTGACCAAAGCTCAAAGCAAGATATTCCAATGAAAAGGATCTATGGGAACTTGTGAAAGAACTGGTACTAGAGTGCTCAAAGACATCTGCTCCATGCTCTGTTCCTGACTACTCCAGTGACACTTTTTAGGTGAAAACCAACACTGCAAGACAACACACGGTATTCCCCCCCCCGCTCCCCCCCCCCATCTGCTTTGTTTTAAAAGATGAAAAGCCAGAACAAGTCCACTCTATTCAAGCAAAAGGGTCTACAACTTCATTCCTTAGGATTTTTATATTACCTTGAATCACACTTAACTGAAAACATTTGCAAACCAGAATATATATTTTAGAATACCACGTACAGTCATCTACATTTACATAGTCAACTCCGAAGTAAATGCATTTCAGCAAGGCTCTCCTATGTACTTCAATTTATCATTCACTGTGTGGAATCATGACTCATCCTCAAAGACTGGACCACAGCTGTAAAATTGTATGGGGACCCTGGCTAGTCCCTCTGTAAAAGCCTGACACATCACTAGACACATTAAGAAGAGTATGGTAATGAACAAGTATATGCATATACACTTTTTTAAATTTAAATAAATAGAATCAATAAACAGATGATAAAAGCATTTCATTTCTGAAACACCTTGTGGTCTTCTCTTCCTGAAAACAAACTGGATAAAGCCACCTGGAGAGACTCCTTCCTTTAAATAAATCATAAGACAATGCTCAGATTTTTCCAGGAAACACAACGCCGACTCCTCAGCTTGGAGATTTCCTGGAAGACTTGCCTGCATTATATTTTCTCATTTAGCCATGTTTTGTGCCATGCGTTTTGTTGGCCACATTCAACTGAACCCACTCAAAATTAAAGTCTAGTTTTGCACTTGAAAATTTCGTTCAAGTAGATCACCAGAGTCCCAAGAAAACAGGCATACAAATGAGGAAATGCAGGTGATGTCTGGTATCATGTTCTTTTCCCCATCTGCCTCTCGAGATTTATTTTTTTTTAATTAATATGTATATTACATACAGGAGGCTCTAACTCTACCATCTGAGTCTTTCAGAAAGTCATCCTAGTTATATTTGGGTTTCTACTATCTGTTTGTGCATGCAGGCTACAGAACACACACAAAAAACACCCCATAGGAATGCATGTCTCCACAAATCCTCTCTGCTAACTCAAAGGCATCTTTGTATTGTGGCCCCGATTCATGCAGCTTGATGTCCACAAGCATATTACTGAAACACTTATTAGAATCAGAAGGGAACTTTCCAATTCTTGATGCTTCCAATTATGTCTCTCCCCTTATAGGAAGTCAACTTTACTGCTGTTTTAATCTCATACTCTAATACTTTAAGTGGCATACTATAAGAGAGGTCTGCTACTCTGCTGAACTTCCACTTTCTAGCATTTTAACTACATATATCACATGTATAACACTTCTGTGAATGCCACACCATACCAATCTGTCCAGTTTGGGCTTCTTATGTATAAAACCCTCCCTTTTCTGAATTATTCCCTTTGATGTTTCATCAGTTCGAAGCTCCTGCCCTCAAAACTGGGATACATAATGCAAACTTCTTTTTCCCTTTTTGCATGATCTGCTGCTAAGGTGAAAAATGGGACAAAAAAAAAAAAAAGTAGGAAAGAAAACACACATAGGAATAGGAGGAAGTTCTCAAACTGAAGGTAGAACATCTCCTGTAACTGGCAGATGTTGGAAAGCAGCTTCTCCAGATAAAAAGTTTGGGCCTCTGCAATCAGCAACATTCATGTGGTATGGAGGCTGCGTGTACGCCCTGGCAGTCCCATGCTTTGCATCCTCTTCTCATGAGAAGAACATTTCCATCCTCATCACAGGCTCAGTCTCTCTACAGAATCTCAGACTAATTTCTAAATACGACTTTAATAAAGCTTACTTTGCATAGTCTGAACAAGGTCTCAGTTGCATTACATCACATAAAAACTTCCATCACTGATGATAGTCATTCTTCTATAATAATACTAACAGGCTTGAAAACTGCTAACATACATTAACAATGCTAGGAAACATTCCTAAGACTTCCTCGCTATTAAAAAAAAGAATAATTTTAATTACATAATGGAACAGAAACAGTACAAGATGCTGTAAAATACCTGTAGGAATACAGATCCAGTAAAGGTTAATCGAGGCACAAAATCATGTCCTCCATAATCTCATGCCATCACATACTATTTATTTAGTCCAGAAGATATATAGGGTAACTCAAAACAGAGAGAACATTTTTTTCTCCTTCAATTTGTTTTTTTTTTAATTTTGGATTTTGTGCTGACAAATAAATAACGTTTTCATCAGGAGAACTTAAACTGCTGGTGCCCTAACCAAATGCTTTCTGTTTTCACGTCTTCTGCAGAACACCACTTGCTTCGAGTATCTCACAAGGAGATTAACTGGACTAACACAACCAGTAGAATAGCAGCCAAAAAAAGAAAGAAAAAAGGCATTTCATTAATAACAGAAGTAATAAAAGATAGGAGGTGCTTCAATCCATTACATCATTGATAACAAGACATATAGTACACTTCCTGTAATTAATGTACTATAAATACAGGACTATTACAATTACTATTGTAGTAATCTTTCTTAATAATAACAGCGCTGCGAAGTGCTTCGATATAAGTGCTATGTTCTCAGCAAAACCATCAAGAATAATTCCATGGGCAAGTCTTGACTACATTGACAGATGAGGCCTCTAAAGTCTACCTAGATCCACAGAAAAAAAAAATAAAATTATTTGATCAAATTTTTACTGGAAGCCTTTAAAGAAAACATTTGCTGCTGGCATATATTCCTCCGCATGCAGGAACTCAAGAGAACAATACACCAGCTGCTGACTCGAGACTACAACACAATCACATAAAACTCCATTATGGTGGTACACATCTGTAATCCCATCCCCAGAAGAAGGGACAAAGTTCCACCTCCAAAAAGCGCTCCATTAACAGCCACAAATTACTCACATTTATAGTGTTTTCCAACACACACAACAAAAACATCCAAAGCCTTCCCCATTTATTCAAAGGGAAGGTAAGATTCTGGCACAGCTTTCACTACTCATGTCACACCTACACTCTCACTACATGTGCATCCAGCTCTCTCAATAAAGCTTCATGATTCTCCTCAAGTATTTATGGCCTGTAGCTGCGGAGCCATCTAAGCATATCCATCTAGATTACATACTACATTCACTAGGCTAAGCAGTTTTACTCTGCTTCAACACATGTTTCTTACCCAATAGCCCAGTAATCAAAATTTGCCTTCAACCTGGTAGGAACAAAGGAAGCATATTACAAGCTTGTGTGGCTGATACAGAAACAGCCTCACTTACAAAATCACTGCAAATAAGTCATGAATAGAGAGAAGCAGTAGGTCCTCTTATCCATGTCTCTGACTTATTTGTGAAACATCTGAAGTTATTTAAGGCAGTCTTTCAATCTACCTTCTCCATGTGAACTTATTTTTAAGCACATCTACAACGCAGATTCTGTTTCTTGTTTAATCGTCTGAAACAGCCTTGTAGAAAAACTTTGTTAACATAGGAGTTCCTCAAAATATGGAGTTACTGCATTCTGATCCTCCTGTGAGCAAGATTATTAAATGGTAGTCAACAGCATGTACGCATCTTTTAACAGTTCCTGCATGTATATAGGACTGCCCCCAACCACTGCTGATAAACAGGGTTTATAAGTCCTCCCACACCAAGGTTACTGTGTGAAGTGATCTTCTGTGACATACTGCGCTAGGTTTTTTAAAATCCATGTAAGTCTAAAACTTCTTTGTCCCAATTATCAAAGACTGGGCAAATACAGGACAGCTGCCCAGATCTTCCCACATAACACTGATGCCAGCATAGTAGTGCATCACTACAGACAGATAGCTCAAAAAACATGAGCTAAAACCCAAAATACTGTGGGGATATGCTTAATTCTTAATGATAAGCCTATAAAGGAGCAAATGAAACCAGCATTACTTAATTCTGTAGGAGTTAAGTGAGGTCTTTCTGCTTCGTTAAATTTTCTTTAGATTTGGGTTGACTACTGTGACCCATCTGTGCAGAGAAGTCTCAGGCAGCAGTCAAATGCAATATATTTTCGGTGATCTGTCAAAGACCTCTCATTTCCTAGCATGCTTATCAGGAAAGAAAATGTAGTTAAAGGCAGGTGACAAACAGTAAGATAGCATTTTCCGTAGTCAAAAAATGTACACAAACAAGTGGGTTTTTTTTTAATAGAGTGTCCAGGCTTCTGATTGAAGTAGACTATTTGCTAAATGCTGTGCAAATAACAGATATATACATACATCTCTGTAGACATTTCTAGTCACCACCCATACAAAAAGCAAAAATTACTATTTTTGTCCTTCCTCACTGTATTTTCCTGAAGTAGCAGAGCACATCCACAACCAAAAAAACACCACCAAGCCAGAACATGAGTAT